CAAATATCTCCTGGTATTAGTTGATACCTTCTCAGGGTGGGTGGAAGCTTTTCCAACTACTAACAAAAAGGCTCAGACACTGTCTGACACCCTTCTCAGGGAAATCATTCCACAGTTTGGAATCCTAGCTTCTCTTCAGCCAGACAATGGCCCTGAGTTTACCTCTCAGATTTCACAAATCTTATCTAAAGGTCTAAACATCCCTTGGCATTTCCATATCCCCTAATACCCCCAGTCCTCAGGGAAGATAGAGCATACTAACTGTTCCCTAAAAAATGTTCTTGTCAAAATGTCACAGGAACTTCACCTTGACTGGGTAAAGCTCTTGCCTCTGGCTCTATTCAGGCTTAGGACCCTCCCCAAATGACCCCTTCTCATCTCCCACTTTGAACTTGTGTATGGGAGGCCAGTTCTAACACCTGGTCTCTCACCTGAACTGTCACCTCAACCTGACCACCTGCTTACACCCTTACTTCATCATCTCCGCTCCCTACTATGGAACTTTACTGACCACTCTCTGCCTCGACCTTGCACCAACTTCTGTACATCCCCAATTAACATTGGGAACCAGGTCCTTCTCTCCCCCCCCCTCCCCAGACAAGAACCTTTCACCCCTCTCCCCTAAATAGCAGGGCCCCTTCAAGGTAATTCTTATCACCCCCAACAGCTGCCAAGCTTGAGGGCCTTTCCCACTGGATTCATTTATCTCACCTCAAACCCTTTACTTCTTCATCTAAAACTAATCCCTCATATACAGCAACTACAGCAAGACACTGTTCCCTTAAGCTTTGGACAACACAGAGATTAACTACACTCTCTCCTATTCTAGAAGATTAAGGATTCATTCCTATAATTTCACTCAGCTGGATTGGAAATTTCATGCTTTTCTTCCTGTATTCAGGCTGATCTAAAATTTCTAATCTAACCAATAGCTGTTCTTACAGGAATGACAGCCAAAAGTCATGGACCTAGAGACACAACTCATCAAACACTTGTAACTCCTAAGTAAAGGTAACATTTCTAACATGAATATGTTGCTAATGTATCTATTATTTAGGTTTCACAAACCCGAAGGATTCTTTAGGTTCCAGGGAGCTGGAATGGATTCATCTAAACAGGTCAGATTCACTCCAAATAAATCAACTTTTTCCTGGCCTCAGGACTTCCTTCCCTTGTCCCGGGACCCCCTTGGGAGCCCCTCCCGCACCTCACACTTCTCCCATTAAGTACTAAGACCTAAGAGAAAAAAAACCTAACATTGTCCTCTGTTCTGCTAACATCTCGCCAGGTCTCAAAGAGATGCCAGAGATCCATACTGTCAGGACTTCTAAAAATAACCAACTACCAGGACTTGGCAGCACCCCAGCCTTCTTGGATCCTCCAAAGACAATCTACACCCCCAAGTCAGCAGGAAGCAGTCTCTAGAACTCAACATCTTTATTCCCTAACCTGCCACTCCCAACCCCCACTTTTTTTAATAACAATAAGAGGTGGGAAAGTTAGGAACTAGCAGCCAGCTGACCCTTTCCCCAATGATGGGCAGGATACTCATGGCAGTGTCATTGCTGAAGCTTTACCTGGCTGCCAAAGGACTCAGTTACCCATGCGCAAGCACCCCCCCCCCTTTTTAAGCAAGCACCCCACCACCCCCCCTCTCTCCTGCTTTGGGTTGGCCACTAGCTACCCCCTCTTTCTCTCCCTTCTCTCAATAAACTCCACGTGGGCACTGAGTCTCCTGTTTGTGTTTCTTAGGCATTAGCTGCAGTGAAAGTACAACAGTTATGGTTATTGTTTTCCTTAGTTAGGATTAAAGATAAGTTACTTAGACTTTAGACACACAAAGATAGGATAGATGATAGAATACTTTCTTAAATCTTGTTAAATGTTAATGAATTAAATAGTGTTAACTGTGATTCTTATTTGATAACTGTTATGTGATATATTTTGCTATGTTAAGGTTAAAACTCTTCTTTTTATTTAGACAGAAAAGAGGAGATGATGGGAGATTCCATTATGTATATGTGTTTCTCATACTAGTTAATAAATAAAGCACTGTTGACCAATAGGAAAGGGAGAGAGGAGAGACTAGGAGACAAGGAGTAAGGAGGAGTTAAGATGGAGAGTCTGGAGAGAACAGAACCGCCGTTCCTCCACTCTCGGTAAGACCACGTGGAAATACATAGAAATGGGTTAATACTTAAGACAGAGCTAGCCGATAAGAAATTAGTAACTGGCCAACAGCATTATATCAAATACAGAGTTTCTGTGTGTTAACTGGGGCTGGTGCAGTGGCAGGACAAGATCGGCAGCGGGAGGAAAAACTTTACTCCGTACATTAGCTTTTAAATATGATGTCGCAAGCAAAAAATAATGTTATCTAAAAAATTAGAAATGCATTAGAAATTAGTATATCTTAATCCTGTCTTATTCAGATCTTATGGGAGATTGAAACAGTCTGTTCCTCCTAGGGTGGTTCACAATGTCCCACATGCCTCTCAATGTAATATAGTTCTGAAATGGCTACAATTTCTATGTATATTTAAGTATTAATAATATATATACTGTCTATCTTAAATTAAGCATTACCAATAAAAATACTGTTGACCTATATTATAGCAAGTAGTGATATTCTTTTATTTAGTACAGTAACAATAAATATACACAGACGTTTTGCTGTTAAGGAGGGGTAGGTTGCTCACTATAAACTACATGCATGCACAGAAACAAAACTTACACTGAACCATAAAACTGCATAATCTGAAATGTATGTGCAAAGGAAATTCGACTCTTGTATTAATAGGATATAGTAGTTAGGGTCCTGGCACCAGAAGACAGACCTCCCAAACTCCAATCCTTGCTTTTCCTCCTCGGAGGATGATCACATGAGAAAGAACTTGACTTCCTCAATTATTCAATAGCCTCTGTAGCTCTCAAGAGCTATTTAATGGTTAAATAAACTCATAAGTATAAAATATAATAATTATATTAGTTTTTATAAATTTTAGTTAATACTTCATCACAAATTTAGCTTTAATAAATATATTATATATGATACATATTTAATAAAGTAATATAATATTGCTCATTTTATGGTTCAGTGTAAGTTTTGTTTCTGTGCATGCATGTAGTTTGTAGTGAACAACCTACCCCTCCTTAAGATTAAATCATTCTTGTATTATATTTGCTTTTAGGAACCTTTCCTATGATAATCAGTTCCATACAAGCAAAGAGAAGTCATAATTCAACATACTCTCCATACATAGAGGGGTCACCAAAGCGTCTTTATTATACCAACATTTACAAAATGACAAGTTTGAGTGTTTACAGATAATTTCCAGTTGTCAAGTTTTATGATCTCATCATAAAAAAATTCATTTTCTGAGAAAAAACATAAATGCATTTCATTCTGCTTGACATAATGTTTTCATGACCTTTTATGGGCACACTGGCATAACTTAATTGGTAAACTAAAAGAAAAAAAATTAGTTAAATCCTTGCATCAGAATCAATAAATAACAACAGGGGTAATAGGGTGATATAATGTGAATGTAGATAGTGTATGATAAATAATACAGTGTTCTTAATAAGGAACTAATATTGAATAATGTCTCATGTGACAATTTGCTTCCCATGGCAGGTTGAGACTGCCATTGATGATTCACAGCCAGAACTACAGATTATTTAAACTAATTTACAAATATGTCTAGATGTAAGTTGTTGCTTTCATTACTAAAACCCCCCTAAGGATGCACGCATTAAAGGATTGCTTCTAAATGGAATGCACTAGGAGAAGGCCAGGGAACTCTGAACTCTTTCTTCCTTAGCTTCTTTGCTTGTGACATAAATGGTTTGCTCCACAATGGTCCCTTCTCCATGTATCCACAGATAACGGGCAGATCTCTTTTGTAACAGAACCTCCAGAAATGTGCCCTAAACCAGCTTTCATTTTCTGTATAATATTTCACTCCCTCATAGAACACTGACTGAGTCTTAAGAATACTACTTCAGTACAGTATCTGTGCTGAGAAGGGCATTTTGTATAATTATTGTATAATTATTATCCTGGTGATATAGACATTCCCATTCTCATGACATATGCTTGCTGTTCAGTGCGGCATTCCTTCCTCAGGTGAGCCAGCCAGGACCCAAGCTAAGATGTTGAGCTGGAGAATTTTAGTGCTTAATGTTTCACATGTAATCACCAAGGGTTTCCCATTCAAATGAACCATTTTAGTCAATTAAAGTGGAGACAGTAATAATATATATCTTTTTTAATTTAATTTATTATTTTACATGTCGATCCCAGTTCCCTCTCCTTCCCACCCTCCCTCTCTCCCTTCCTTTTACCCTCTCTGCCCCCTCACATACACCCTGACCAACCTCCCCTCCCATCCCCCCACCCCAATCCCACATGTAGGGCATATATCTTTTGGAAATGTCACAACTGTATCTACTGCCAGATGGATACCCCTGTAAAGCACGTGAAGTTCTTTGTACCACCACCAACAACAACAACAAAAATAGACATGATAAACAAAGTTAACAATCTCAAATCAGCAATGTAAACCATGGTTCTAATAAGTAACATTCTCACAAAATCATGTACCTAATTATCTCCTTTCTAACTTTATTATACTGAGATAAACAGAATAGAGTTTCCACTCATGCATGTTTATGTGTTTAGCATTTTAAATTCTAACCAAGCAATAAATAACATTTCAACAGTATAGCAGGTATGAACTTTTAAATGTCTTCTTGTTTTCCTTTTTTTAAATTTTATTTATTTGTTTATTTATTTATTTATTTTTATTGTTGTTGTTGTTCAAGACAGGGTTTCTCTGTATTGCTTTGGAGCCTGTCCTGGAACTAGTTCTGTAGACCAGGCTGGCCTCGAACTCACAGAGATCTACCTTTCTCTGCCTCCTGAGTGCTGAAATTAAAGGTGTGCACCACCAACACCTGCTTAAATGTGTTTTACTTATTTTAATAAGGTTCTTACCTTGATCAAATGGTTTTCCTGGGCTCCAGGTACGGAAATAATCATCCTAAGAGAGGAAAATACCATGACTTAAGTGTACATGATCAATGAAAATACATGGATTCACATAAAATATAAAATAATATATATAAAACAGAGAAATAGCATACAAACCTCTACTTCCTGCAATGGCAAGCAGCAAATTAAAAAAAAAAAAAAAAAAAAAGAAAGAAAAGAAAGAAAGGGAACAGAGAAAAAGAACAGTTATCAAAAAGGGACACAACTGTATGCAAATTAAAGAAAAGATTCTCAGTACATGTGCTTATTTTCATTGGAAGCCAGGGGTTACCGTAACAATTCAATTATTTTTGTTGCCACTTCTCTTAAATATTATAATGAGCTGCTTTCAATTACAATTCAATGTGCAATATAACATGCAGATAATTACCACTAAGCTAATAAGCTGTAAAGTATCTTACTAGATTCCAATTATAGGACCTCATTTCCCACTAGTACAATAGTAAATGGATCCATTAATATAACAGGGAAAACATCAACTGATTCTGCAATAGTCCATTGAGTATAAATAGACTTTATGCAAATCATGTACATGTTAATTGAATAACCAAGGAGTTCATCAAAATGCAATTGGGATATTGAAAAAAAAATGCACACCTAATTAAATCCTAGTTAATGTTTAAATATTGAATGTGGAAAAAATATATATTTTATCTATTTAGGAATTTTAACTGAATGATGTAAAATTGAAGCAATGCACATCAAAAAATTAAAAGACACATCCAAATGGATCCTGTATTGTGTTTTACTTTAAAGCCTTATAAAATACTTCATATGTAGTGTCTTCAATTGTGGAAAAAAATGATTTTGGAGCTAAAATTAATACAGTGTTTTCATAGTGATAACATGGTATGAGAAAGAAAACACACCGTGAAGATTTGCAATAGTTCTGGGATGTACTCAATTAGATGAAAATCTATAAAACTTGAAGAGTACAAGAGTACATTGTTATTTTTTTAACCTCCTGTCCCAGGTCCTCTTCCTCTTCCCATGTTTATATGTTCATGTCTTTTTTTTTTTTTTTTTTGTGACCCAGGTTTTAACCGGAACTTTTTTTTTGTTACCCTGGGTTTGGAGTAAGACTGTTCCAGCAGTGTTTCAGTCACAACTGGAAACAGTGCCAACCTCTTGCACAGAATATACAATTAGTTAATATTTCAGTTTGGATAGGTAGGGTTTTGCTGACCCACAACATGACTGTTGACAGCAGCCATTTGCAGAACCACTGGACATCTGTTTTGGAAGTTCTTACGTGATTGTGTTGGCTGTGTCATGGCCACATGGCAGCCCTTCTTAGTGCTTCTGCCTGTCTTCTGTCTCTTCATCCTATCCTCATCTTTGTCCTTGTTTTTTGAGCCTTAGTGCTAGTAATAAGAATATCCTGTTGAGGGATGAGCCCTACTCGATTATTACTTATTCTCTGTAGTTTTTTTTACAGCAGCATGTCTCCAGATTCCCTCCATGGTAAAATGAAGTTTTTCTGATTATGAGAGATCACTTGTTTATGGGTATAAAGAAGTATTTAGAAATTTTCCTTTTAATTATGGAAACAATCACAGTTATCTACTCATTATAAAATGTAAATTTCATTCCCAAAGTTTGTATTTTCTGATTATAACTGCTAACCACTATCTTCTGTGATCCTACCCACAAAGTTCAAATGAAAGGACAGAAAATACTTAGAGCCATATATGTCAGCCTTGTTTTGAGAGCAAATGAGGTTACAATAAAGGGACAAATGATGGCAGTCCGTACTAATAGGTTCTGTTCTAAATTATGTAGAATTAGATTAAGGGAGAATAATGCCCTAGGATAATTCAATCAATATTGATTGTTTAAATTCTTTGAAAAAAAAATCTCCTTTTAAAAACAATTACTCCAAGATAGAATTCTTGGAAAACAAAGCTTTCAAATTACATTACTTCACTATGTATCTAAACTACCAGGGCCACACAGATGGCTCAGTGGTTAAAAGTATGTGTTGACGCCAAATTGGACAAGAGATTGGGTCCAGCATCCAAGCTGGTATCCTTCAACCACCCTCAATCAAGTTCCAGAGCAAATGATTACTCTGGCAACTACTATCACATGTGTAAACCCCACAAAGATGCATGCACATGAGCATAACTGAAAATAAAACAAAATCATTTTTAATCTTCTAAATTCAATCTGAAGACCATAACATGCCGATTTAATGCCTCATAAGTTTAAAATGGCATAACCATGCTAAAAGATATTTATTGTCATTCATTCAAAACATGAAGAGGAGTAGTACAGCTGTGTGTTCAAGTCTCCCATAAAGCCTACCAGACACTAAACATGGACACTTGCATAAGTCTGTGAAAGTTAAACTACTGGTCTGGCAGGGGATTCTCCTTGGAAAAGTGATGATCTAGAACTCTGATCCCCAGGAGCAGAATTGGAAAAATAATACACAGCAATTTGAGAAGGCTTTGTATGTGTGTCTCTGTGTATGTGTACAATAAAACCAAGAAAGCCACCAGCAGAATATCAGACATGGACATGTTAGATCACTGATACTCCTTGGGAAAGGCTACCTCCCCTTTGTTAATTCCCTTGAACATCTCATGACAGTTAAAAAAAAAAAAAGCAAAACAAAAAAAAACACACATTCAGTTTTCCCTAAATCTTAAAAGCAACGGTGGAACCTCTTAATGTTAAAAGTCTGTTTTCAAAGAGAATATAGTGGTAAGATTTAAGCTTAGTCAAATGTAGTTTACAGCTCTGCAGACTACAATGACCAGTTTGATAAATTTGGGCTGGTAACTATATAAAACCTGCCATTAGAACTCTCTGGGAGATGTCAAATGCAACATTCACTCTGCATATGACAGCAAAGGAGTTCTTAATGGGCTACTTTTACATATATTTTCTACATTCTCACATCAGTGGAATTTACAATTTTTATTATTTACTTCTTTATTTTTATTTACAATGGTTTTGCTTTGTTAAACATTGGGAGTTTTACCAAGATAAACAGTAAAACACATTGTTTCTTTTTTCAACAGAAGTGTTCACTCAACCACAATTTCTTTTCTTTCCAAGGACTTTGTGTTGATATTGCCTTTTCCATGTCTTCAATTTAGGTTCAAAAGGAACTCACCAGAGATTTAGTAAAGACCTAGAAAAGTGCTTCCAAACAGATACACTTGGGTCTAGGAAAATACAACCAAATCTGAGTTATTTAAAAACAAACTGATTCTTGTCATTTCCTATAGCTAATATGAGACCTTTGTCAATTTCTTATGCTTAGGAAAATAATTGTTAGCTGTACATGAAAGAGACTGCACATGAAAATGTGTTATGTATGGCATTATTCAGAATGTCTTTTGTCTTGTATTGCAATGCCTGTATTTCTCTCTGTTTTGTGGAATACAAAACATTGGTAGTCATACAATTTAAATCCAGATAATTCTTTTTTGTATTGAGAACAATTGGCTGGTCTGTGCTCGTAGGCTATTTGCAGCACCCTGGACCACTGTGAGAAAAATCTGAGGTCATTCTCCCTCAGTTTAACAGACAGAAATATCACCAGATATTGGAAAATATCTTCTGGGGGAAATATCATTCAATTCAAGAACACTGATGTAGAATTACTGGGATAATGTACAGGATACTGAAGCAAAATATCTTACAGTAGAGAAGTATTTTCAGTGACAAATTTTCTTAATAAATATTTCATAATATTGGGAGCTTTTACAAGGTTATGTTTTAGAAAGCCTATTGAGCTCAATATATAATTTGGTGTGAATTTCTCATTTAGGCTTGCTTCCATCTATCTGTGCTTTCATACTTTTTATAACCTTTTGCTATAATAAATATGGTAATTCATGTCTGAAAACTTTTCTGTTCTCTTATAAACAGACTTGCATAAGTTTTGAAAGTTAGGCATAAACACCATTCATAATAATGAAAAGGGCTTGCCTTTATAACTGGTTATAATATGGCATTATGAAGGTTAAGTGGGTAACAAGGAAGTTTATATTTTAGCATCATCTGTTTCTTTCATTTGTGTTAACACTGCTACATTTATATTGAAAATGCAATCCCACTAAAAATCTCAATAAAATTTTTAACAGAGACAGAAAAACATATTAAATACTTATGGAACCACAAAACACCCACAAGAGCCAACAACTCCAAGAAAAAAAAAATTGAATGAAGCTTGACTACAGGACAACTCAAATAAAAAATAGCAATAACATTTTCCTGATATATACCAATTGAATAAAATGGATGACCCAGATAAATGCATGGGCTTATAACTTTAGCCACCTGACTTTTGACAAATAGGACAAAAATAAACACTTGAGAAAAAGTAGGGTTCTCAAGAAATGATACAATTAAAATTGCATATCTATGTATAAGAACCTCAACATGAAAATAAAACTTTGCTTATGGCTAACTAAGCTGGACAAGTCCCCTTTCCAATAAAGATCTGGAATTCAATGGTTGCAAACAGCATCCTCCTTGGTAGTGTGTGCAGCCTGAGTTCTATATGGGTTGCCCTAAGTGACCTTGGAGACAATATTTTGGCATAAATAAAATATTATAGAAATTATGTGATTGAACTTGGGTGTTGGACATGACAGGATGTCCTCATAGACACTAATCACAGCCTCTAAAGTGCCTTTTGTTTGGCTGAGGAAAATGTGATGCATCAAGCAAATCCTAACATCATTTTCCCCCTAAGTATTTGATGCAGAATAATGACATAAGTCTTAGAATGTGAATAACCTGTCTTGAAAATTAACCTCAGTGCAAATACTGTGAAATCGCATAATTACCAGTCAAGAAAAGATGTCAAATCTACTTTATCCACTATACTATTAAACTTGTTGATTTATCCACTAATTACTTTATCTTCCTGAATTCTTTATCCATCCCATGACCCAAAGCAGTTTAGTTGTCTAATTTTCCAACCTTATGTGACTGATATCTATTTGGTCTTGTCGCCATTATTACAGTCCAACTCCTATCATCCAGGAAGAAGAATAATTGGTGGTGGTTTCAAATGCCACCAAGTAGGAAATAACCATATAAACAACGTGGGAGAGAAAGTGCTTCTGGCCTCCTCTTTGGGAAAAATGACACAGGCAGAGATACCACACAAAAAACTACTATTTATTCATAACAGTACTTCAATAAACAAAATGCAGTTATCTTTGAACTTGCTATAAAAATTACAAATTGTATTTTAATATTCTGAACCAAAGAAAATTAAAGTAACCTATTATATATATGTTGCCAAATTGTTCATCCTTGAGTGACATCTGATAAAATGGGACACAATATCTACAAATCTGTTTTTATTATTTGTGATTATAGTCTCCCAAAGCCTCTGATTCACAAATTTACATTTTACTCTTACATCTAGTAATCCTTTGATTTAGTTTTTTATCTAAGAAAAATTATGACACATTCACCAATTATGATAGCCCAAAAACATAAAAGTGGGAACACACTGTTTTAAAATGTGCTGTTATTTAATTGCCACACACCCCCACCTTGGATGCTAATATGGGAAGATTGGCTTTCTTAATAACTAAGTATATGAATTTCTCCAAACAGGAAATGTCTCTCCATAGAAATCTTAACTAATTTGGTCCCAGGAATGATGTAAGTATAGAAAAAAATTGTTTGGAGGGAAAAGTATTATTCGTGTGATACAAATTGTGTGTATCAGGCTCCCAGGTGGCACATTTATTAAATAAGTCGCTACCATTTTTTCCAGATAGAATCCTAGAATCCTGAAAGAATTCATTTATAACTCTTCAGTGAGCATTTTATTTTTTAAGAATGTTTTATACTCCTTGACTCACCATAGATTAAATACATAAATAAAATAAATTGTGAGTAAAAGGCTATACTGGTGGGTTAGCTTCTCAACTGTGTTTGGAAATATTTGTAAATCGAGGTAAAAGATCCTCAAATTATATAGGGACTGTATATAGATTTACCATACATTAACATATAGAATTCATGATTCAATTACATCAAAACAAAAAGGCACCAAAATATAGGTAGACTCTATTCTTGCTTTATTTATATTGCAATCCTCCATGCCAGAATTCCTGTATAGCTGGATTTTAGTTTCAGTTTTTCCACATGTGGTTCAGGTTAGAAATGAAACTATAGCCAGTTAAACAGTTCTATCACTTACAAAGTTGGTTGGACAAGGGTCACATACACTCTTTTAAGGTCTAGTAATCTACTTTGGGACTTATCATAAGTTCTGACACCTTGAAATGCACTGTGCTTAATTTTTGCTGTTTTTGTAAAAGTAATATGTACTCCATGATTCCACATTGTACTGTCACTGTAGAATAGATGTATGAAGGTCAGGAGATAATTTTTAACAGAAAGTCCCTCTATTTGCTCATTTAAGTGTCCAACATACTGTATAGATTTTTCATATGGCTCAAACTCTTAGATAGTGGAATGGGAAGAAGCCTTGGCTCCTAAAAGCACTTGTTGCTATTGCAGAGAGTCTTGGTTTGTTTCCCAACACTCACATAGAGACATCTGTTACTTCTGTCCTAGGGAATTATTGCTCTGTTGTGGATTGGGTGGATATTAGGCATTTGTGAGGTGTACTTACACACATACAGGCAAAACAGGGATGTTCATAAAATATAGAAAATCATTAAAAATTAGATATCAATTCAAAACATGATAGTACTTCCAACCTGACATGTTTAGGAATATAACTCTTGCAATTCTGACAATACTCAATTATTGCATTACAAGGGTTAATGAAGCAATTATTAAGAAAACAAAAAATGAGACCCTACAATTGAATGAACATGAAAGTATATCATAGGAACACTTATGGAACACACTAAAGGCAGTCCTAAAAGGAATGTTTATAGACCTAAAATTTCGGCTTTTAAGAAAATTGTTTAATAATATGACCCTCCAAAACTAGGGTCAAAATTGATGACAACTGCACAACATGGACAAAAATTCAATCATGGACTCTTCTCCCTGATATTCACAAGATGAAAAAAAATCAATAAATTATTGCAAACCAAAATGAAGATCACAAGTAAATACCACTCATTAAGATCAAGTAGGCTGCATAGGCCAGAGAAGAGGTAGTCTTATTGCAAATCTCCTCTTTCAGCACTTCCCCAATTCCAATCCTCCAGTCTCATCTCCATGTCTGCATCATATTATCTGCTGCTGCTGTTTGCTCTTTCTCCCTGCAACCCTATCCAGTAGATAACATAGATCTTTGTCTTTAAACTATCTTTCCCCAAGTCATTGCTTTATTCCAGATCGCAAACCAGGAACCATTTTCTGGAAAACAATAAGGCACTCCATCTATGGAAGTAGATAGGCTAACTGTGGATCTTCATCTCTCTCTACATTTCTCCAATTCTAATCCATCATTCTCATGCCCATACCTGTAGTAGGCATTCTGCTCTGGCCTCTGCTGACTCTGTGCCCACTTTTCCAGGAGACTAAGCAGAACCTGGTGGTATATTCTGCTTTCCTCCATCCTCTGAACCCCTTTGCATCTGCTCCTAGCCTATCCTTATTCCTTCTCAATGCACAGAAAACTATTTTATATGAAACCATTGGCCTACCTTATCAAGATCCCAGAAGACTTTCCCACTAGGGAACACACATAAACTACAGGTGAGTTTATATAGACAATTTCCTTCAATATTTCATATGTTTCCTATATTTAGAACAGGTTGCTGCTCCCATTCATTTCTTTAAAGTCCCTCCATATCTCTCCCTCCCCATCTTGCTGAACAGTTTAGTTTCAATTGGCACAAACTAGAGCTGTCTGAGAGGAGGTACATTCAATAAGGAAAATTCCTTGATAAATATCAGGTTGTAAGGAAGCCTGTAAGACAGTTTTTTTTAAAATTAGCAATCAATAGAGAAAGACCCAGACTATTGTGGGTGGTGCCATCCCTGGTCTGGTGATCCTGAGTGGTATAAGAAGGCAGTCTATACAGGATATGAGGAGTAAGCCAATAAGTAGCATCCACCATGGCCTCTGCATCGGCTCTTATCTCTAGGTTCTTGCACTGTTTATATCCTGTTCTGACTTCCTTTGATGATGAGCAATGATATGGAAGATTTAGCCCAAGAAACCCTTCTCTCAATAAGTGGGTCTTTGGTCATTGTGTTTATCACAGCAATAGAAATGTTAATTAAGAGATCCTCTCACTAGTGTTCCCCTTTCCCTATTTTCCTTTCTTATTTGTCACTCTATTTGCTTTACTTTACTTTATAGGATGATGTCCAGTTGCATTTTATGTTTCAGCAAACATCATAAATTCATTTTGTTATGGGTGAGTAAAACATTATTGAATATAGATGCCACATTTTATTAATTAATTTAATTAATTAATTAATTTAATACAGATCTAAGCTGATTCTAGAACTCAACTGCTATGAATAGTGCTAGAATAATAATGCATGCACAATCACCTCTGTGGAACATTGTCTTGGAGTCTTTCAGATGTATCTCCAGAGGGTACAGCTAGATGATAAGGCAGCACAGTATCTGTAGAGTGATTGGAGCAACTTACATTCCCACCAATAGTATATAAGGGTTCCCTGCTCTCTAATCACTATTTGCATTTGTTGTTTCCCAAACATACCTTAAACTAACAATTACACTAAGAAAAATTGAGCTAATAAAGTAATAAAAGACATAGAAAAGTTAAATGAGTATTATTAAGTAGAAAAGCCACATACTGTATGACTTGAAGCATATGATATTTGAAAAGCAGTAAAACTTTGAGGCAATAATATAACAGTGATTAATGGAGGCTTAGGAGAGAGGAAAGAATAAATATGCAGGGGACCAGAACACATTTAGGGCTAGAAAGCCATTGAGAGTCACAATGTAATGATAAAACCAAGTCATTATATACCTTCACAAACCCTTAAAATGCTTAGTCTATAAAGTGATCTTACTGAAAATTATAAAATGTAGACTTCAAAGCTGAGTCATTATATCTTCATTGGTTGCAACAAATATACAGAGATGATGAGAGAGGCTGTGCATAGGATTGCAGGGAATGTTCAAAAAATCTAGACCTATGGCCAGGATTGTTGTAGAACTTAAACTGCTCTAAAAATAAAATTAAGCCACTGTAAAATTTTATAAGATGGGAAATATATAATGTAGTTCATTTTTATGGATGTAATTATAATAAACTACTCACAATAGAAAATGTTAAATGATTTCTAAATTACACACAATATAAGTGAATATGAAATGGTACCCTGTTTGCCAATAAATAGCCTCTATCAGCATGATAAATCTATGAAATGAATAAAACTTTTAAACATTAAAAGACATCTATTTACAGAGGTGTTCACTAATTATAATTACACAATCATTCAAGACTATTTTGAATGCTCCAATGTAATAAATTATACAACATATAAAACAAGGAAGTTAACTTATTTTAGATACTAACAACTCTAAATTCAAATGATTAAACTTTAATATTCCACCTTAAGAATTTAATTTTGTGTCTTATTTTAGAAATAAACCT